GAGTCGCTTACATGCCTCTACCACATTTATTTTTTCCCTTTCTCTTGCTTTTTCCTTTTGTGATACCCCTTTTGACGTTAATTTTATTATTTTATAGTCAGAATATGGCTATTTTGAGGATAGTGAAGCAACTCGAAGGCTGAGGTCTCTCATCGTTGACAGGTATCCGGAGGTACATCGCTGTGAATTCATTGTTAGAGCCCCGGGTCGCATTAACCTCATAGGTGCGTGTCATAGGCGAAAAAGAAAAAAACTTTACAACAAAATTACTCGAAAATTGTTCTCCATTTGCATTTATACTGACAGCATTGCACAGTTTCTCATCACAGTTTCCTGTCACAACTGTTTGACGTGTATTCGGTGCGCGTCGGGATTGAGTGAGTGCACGTGCATCGGTGAAAGACCAAATGCATCTTCTTCCTTAACACACAAAATGCGTAACAATTAAGAGTGGAGAAATAAGAAAGATGAGGTACAGTCTATAATGCAGTCTCTGGTCACCTCACTTGAGTTTGGAAATCAAGGCTGATAAATTTGACATTTCAAACTCGTTTGGAGTTGGAGAGCAGAAAGTCAGCAGGCATGCATTCGGGTAACGAATGGCAAGTGACAAATCAAGGCTTGTCACATTTGAGACCCACTGGTTCGACTTGGGCCTGAGAGTGATTGAGACACGATCATCTCATGTGATGAAATTTGGATGCTTTGGTGACTCCTTTAATGCCCCTCCTGAGGACTATACAAAGCGAGTTTAAGTGTTGATCACTAGGTGGGGATAAGTTTTATGGTGCTGACAGAAGTACCTCCTCTTAAACACTTTTTTAGTATCTTTGTAGATCAAACGCTTCAGCTATGCAACAGTAAATGCGCTGAATTAAAGAGAAACATTAAAACATGTCCTAAAAGTGTATTCTTCACCAATTATGAGTGTTTTAAAATGCCTCAATCCTTCTTCACATACACACACCTTGACAAGAATGGCTGTTTCACCGCCTGAGTGATAAGTGGGCACCTGTAAAACGACAGGGTATGCACAGAATGTGAAAGCCATGGGGACTTTTATCCCGCTTTAGGCGAGCACATCGACTATAGCGGCTACGCGGTGCTTCCCATGGCCCTACGACAAGCCGTTTACATTGCGGTGTCAAGTCAACCAACAAGTGGCCGGAAACAAATTAAAATATGCTCAGAAAATGAAACGCTTGAGTGAGTTTACAATGTTAAGGCGATATTTTGTAATAAAATGCAGTTTATATTCAGCAATGGTTTACTGTTGGCAGGACGTATGAGGAGGAAATGGAGAGAGCGTTGAATTTTGCCAATTGTGGTCCACCACAACCCCTCAAATGGTATCACTACGTATTGTGCGGTGTTTGTGGATTTAGTGAATATGCAAAACATCACTTTTCTGTAAGTTACAGCCTAAATGGTGGCTTTCTGACCTTTTCGACGCTTTGTCTGGTTCATTTGTAAAACCTATCGTCTAACCAATGGCATTAGCAAAACCGTCTAAATCATAAAATTTGTCCAACTCCTAAAAAAATCACTACTCAACACTGCGTGGGGAGTTAAATTAGGCATTTTCATAGAAGGATCCAACTCTTGTATCATCCTTCAACATCTCCCTTGCAAAATACGACATCCGGAGCCGCCGCCTTACACAAGCAATGTCGGAAGTGGCTTAAAACAGTTCACAGGCGCCAAATGGTAGCCATAGAGTTGGGCTTTCTGCATTCAAGTGGTGAAAATTTAGGTTGTCACACCTACGTTGGTGTCTGCAGCACATCACTCTCACACCTTCTACCGACTTGATTAACATTGGCTAGACGTGGTTAGACACATCGAAGTGCACGCAACAGTTTGTGTGCGGTTGGACACTTACCATCACCAAGATGGCCCTCATTTTTAAGGAGGTCTGTGAACGCCAACAATATTTACATCACGGTGACAGTCACTTTTTTGGGACAGAAAGATGAAAAGGCGAAGTCTCCAATCGGTTTGAATAACATTTATGCGCCAACCGTTTTTTTTTTGTGTGCTTTCAGCCGGTGAAGTGAAAACACAGGGGACTGAATTAAATTAGCCCCTCCTAAGGGAATTTGTCCATCATATTGATGAGATGTGTTACGGAAAATAAGTGGAGCATAAAGCGGTTCTTCGTGACCGTTTCAAAGACAAATAGACTGCAATAATCAAGTAGTAATTGCGATGTTGGGGTATAAAAGGCTCCCCATATGATTGGCGCGTTAACAGCAGGCGAAGGTCAGCCATTCAGCTACCTTCGCCTCTCCCCGTCCTCAAAAGTCTATGAAACTGCTTAAACCTTTGACCACAATGTCACTCATCCCTCTCAAAACTCCTATTAAAAATAGAGTTTCAAAATGCATAAGAATTGTGTAGGGGAACTGTAGTTTACTTTTGAAAAAAAGCTGGCGGGCTGGTCTGAAACCCCGAAGCTCATAAATAAAGAGCGGAGCATTTCCTTCTGCTAGCCTTTTTATTCCTCATTTCTGTGCTACTACTTTGGCATGTAAAATTAAAATCCTATCTATGTAATTGAGGGTTGAGAAGGCGCTTATTGTTCACACAATTGCTCCCCCCTCCCCCTCCCCCTCCCCCCCCGGCATAGATAGACTAGGCAGCTATATGGGGTTGTAATCCCGATGTTCTCACTGCAGAAACTAATGGCTATCCTAGTGATCAAGAACTTGGATAATATGAAAAAATAGACATTGTTTTTTGTAGTATCACCAATGCTTTGTGCAAACTATCCTAGCAGTGGAACCCAGGACGTTGATCCTGCAAGATAGGATTAACTTCCGCTGCTCCTCACGTGGTACTATGGGACTGTCTTGAGGGCAAAAGAAAGCACATGATTGGGAAGAATTTGAATTTCAGGGCTACTAGTTTAACCCTTTAAAGCAAGGTTTCTTGCCCACAAGCACAATTTCTACTCCTTACCTTATCCTGAACTTCTAAAACCAACAAGTTGACAGTTTTACAAATTAGTCATTACTGACTTGAACACCTTCCATCAAGAATTGGACGCTTCCCTCGATATGGTTACTGGTTGGAAATGGAAACGATCCAGCTTACCTGCCAATGGATGCCGGTCTTTCGAGTAGCAGTGCCCTCGTAGTTGCCTCCGCGATATCCGTAATGCATGCGACACACGCGTACGTTGAACGAGTAAGTTGTCACATCCAAAGATGTCAATGAAGAAGCCACCTCTTGTCGTGTGAAGTAAGAAATCTCCGCCTGTAACACCTTGTCTTGTCAATCGGTAAAGAGCGGATCTTTAGCAAAGGATTTGTAATTGATGCAATGATGTAACTGTGCTAAAAAAATTACCACTTCTGATTTTATCACTTAATCGTTTCAGTATGTCTAAAATTTTATCGCAGTCGTGTGAGTGCCAAAATACGGGCAGCAGATGGCAAAAAACCATCACCTAAAGTAGGATTGATTATAGCCCGCATCATCCCTTTTCCCATTCCTTAGAGCTGATCCTCCCATCAGATTGGTAATGCATAACCATGCATCATAACGCCTTGGGAAATAACAAAATTGACTAACTTTTGACAGTAGCACAGGACTTGTGTGCTTTTCACTACGTCGTTCGTTGATGCCGAAGGTTCTAAAAAGCAATGCACCAATGGTGGGTTCCAATTTTCAATGTACTCACTGAATTGAGCAGAGTATTCACTTGGAAAGTGACCGCTTGAAAACTTAATTACAGATGTTGGATGTTCTCCTCAGAGGACGCAAATTATTTTTAACGCACCAATCCCAAGGTATTTTCGAGTAAGCACATTGAAACTTTCTTTTAACTGGCCCACTGTGATGTGCTTAGACAGAACACGTCTACATCTAGGGGACTAATAAAGAATAGTGAGTACTTCATTCTGTCGCCTTATGCTATGTACTTCACACCTCCTTTCCAACATGCAAGGTATTAATGAAGCTAAGCTTATTTGCATCCCAAATTTGCTCCAACCAGATGAACCGGAATGCTATTGGCGTGAAGCTTAAAAGACCAGTTGACTAGCTCTTGCTAGCTCTTTATTGTATAATGCATTCATAAAAACATCCATGCTTCCATGTGTCACAAAACCTACCTTTATCCAGAGCGTCAAAATAATTGGCTTGGAATTGGTCAATTCTAAAGGTAATTAAAAAATTTGCACAAGTAGAAAACGCACTACTTTGATTTATTTAGTAGAAATTTTTATTCGGTATCATTTGGGAAATAGGTAAATCAGGTCAATATGGAGTGAGACAGGCGATTTTGTAAAATGCTAAAATCGCTGCCAACTTGCATGCAGTGCATGCATAATGCTGACTTTATCGCTTGGTGCAGAAAGCAAGTTTTTTTCCGTCATGACACTTTTTGCCGTGGTAGAGGGTGCTAGCAGACATCTGTGCGAACTGTGAACGCCTCATCGGAACCCAGGGTGGCGGAATGGATCAAGCGGCTTGCCTTCTCTCGGAATCATCAGTAAATTTCTAGTATTTTACCCGCTTTTGTTCTCTCATAACGTTAAAATTTATAGAAAAAATTTGATATTCATGTATTCCCCAGCAAGTGTGAAGTACTTGATTCAATTTGGGTACTTCAACATAAGCAGTGCACAAATAGCATTCTTCAAATTGTTCCTGTAACTCGGGTGAAGTGCAAGAGGACGAAGTTGAAGGATGGCGGCTCATTAACACGAATGGAATGATGGGTTTTGAATGCAGCGACCAGAAACTGTGAAGATGTAAAGTTCATTTGGTTTCTTGCAGCACTAAAGCATATGCTGCTTTGGCAAGGCAAAGATAATTTGCAATTTTGCTTTCTACACACCACTCCACCCTACAAAATTTAAAGTGATGGCATGAGTGATGCCATGAGATATTAGTTGTGTCAATGAGGGCTTTCTATTGGCATACAAAAGAGTCAAAAGGGCAGCTAGCGTTGTAGAGGTGAGAGAAAGAACGAGAGAGTCTACCAAGACCCACAGCTAAGCGCCATGTGACAAAGTCATTTGATTTTCAATATTTCAGCCAATCATGATTGAATTTACAAAACCAAATCTTACAATAACACCAGTGAGAATACCCAAAGGTGGCGTCTTTTGTGTTGCTGACTCCGGAGCCCGTCTAAACAAGGCTGCCACACCGGATTACAACACTCGCGTGTTACAATGCAAACAGGCTGCCAAAGTAAATTCACTCGCACAGTTCTTTCTCCCAACTAAATGCATTGGGTGCAATTTTGATGGTAAAAAGCAAAAGCATGACATCCAGCTCTTGATGCTGAAATAAGTACTTACACAAAACATTCGTTTCCCATTGAGTGTGCCAAATGTTTCCCCACTTTGCAGATCCTGCTTAATCATCTTGGGAAGAATGGAGGTGGGAACGAGGAAGAAGTGATTCTTAGGAGTGCCCAAAGAGCATACGGCAAAGCTCAACCGGGTCAAATGCTCGGTCCCGATTCGCCATTAGCGAGGGTCTTTGTAGGCAAACTCGGTAAGGCGATACAACTATCTCAACAGACTTACCGTTTCAGACTTGCGTGCAGGAAAGAGGGGAGGAGGAGGGAGGAGGAGGAGGAGGAGATGAGTTGCTTAAAAGATGAACAGACCAGAATGGGTAGTCATTACACCCAGACCGTCAAAGGTATCGTATTAATGGTGTCGTGTATGTCTCACCTCATGATGATGCTATCTGGAATTGTTTATGTGGACAAGTCATAAATCATGGGCAGAAACGCGTCAGTCTGTCAGCTCGATTTGTCTCTTTTTTACTCTACTGTTCACTATTCTTTTCTCGCACCATCAAGTCTCATGGCACAAAATGTGAGCTATAGGCGCCTTTTTGGTGCGATTGGAGGCCTCAGGGAGCTCTTTGGTGAGACACAGTGTGACAATACCAGACCAAATAAACTAATAAAACTGTCAAGCGTTGGGAGAGAGAGAGAGAGAGGCCTTCTAATTATCATGATTGCTTGTTGGGGCAAGTGAATTTTGCACGCATGTTGTCATCTTCCCTCAGCAGTTGAATGCAAGATTGTTAATTTTACTAAACAACTCGATATTGCATACTTCCCTTGGATACTCCAACAATGACAGAAGGTGAATGCTTCACTCTTTTACACCAACTTTGCACCTGAATGAGGTGGAGTGTTTGACAGGTCTCCACCACATTATCGCCAAACGAAGATACCGAGACGCTTTTAATCTATCAGTTCCCTCTCTTGTCTCTACTAACACACCAATGTTAGCCCCTCTTACCGCATACTGAATCAGCCTAATTAGCGTTAACATTTCAATATTTGTCCAAATTCTCCTCTTTTCCAACTGGCCTATTGAGTGGGTCTGGGGCGATTCTGTACGAAAAAAAGGTTATGTCTGATGAATTTTGCGGTAAACATTTCCACAAGTGGTGATTAATCCCACCTCATACCTTCCTCTCCTATCCAATTACCATATTCGGTTGGTGAAAATAACCCATACCTTCACTTTATACGATTTTACGATTCCTCGTAGTGATGGTCAGTGATTGGGAGGTGAAGGGGGGGAAGAAAAGGGTGAATCGTAGACTGCATCCCCACGCTCATCTAACAGGCTCCTTCCATTATCTGCTTCATCGTTTCATAGCGTTTCTGCTGCAGAAAAAGGGAACTACCAAAAGTCCACCAACTGCAATTAATAATGAGTTTTGTGAATAGGATGAAGGAGAGGAGCGAATTAGCAAGGCATTGTATCGCATTTCATGCAATGATATATTACCCTAACAAAAAAGGTAGCGAAAAGCAAAATTTAAATTTAGACTTGCACTTAAATACTTGCCGTCTTATTATTTTACCAACAGTAGGGCAATTTGGAGGTTTGAAGCGAGTGTTATTTCACCAAGTTTGCGGTTATGCCAGTAGTATTTGTGACCACCCTGTGGCATACATCCACCTCCTCTCCATGCAGCCCAAGTGACAGGCCATCGGTGCGCCGGGCCTCAAAGTGCAAAAAAAGTGACAAGTTATTCCGTACTCCACACCACCTCCTCATGTCCTCAATAGGGTTGTGTCTTCATCTCGGCCCTCTTTGTTCCGACATGTAACACAACATAAACAATGTCAACTACACCTCGTTTTTCAATCTTCTGATTTTTTGACCTCTAATTTATCTCCACGTAAACAGTTTTGCACCACAAAAAAAAGGAGATGAAATTTTGCTCCTTTATTCACCAAAAAATGATTTTTGAAATAGGCAAGTATATTTAAGCTAAAAATTTAAACGCAATGAATTTTACTGTTCTGACAGCGGAGTGTGCTGCTGTTCGGTGTGCCACGCACTGTTATGCGGAGGCCCAACGAGTGCTTGACTTTAAAGGCCTCTGTGAAGAGGAGGGGCAAGGAGACCGAGACAATGAGGACATTCTACGAAAGTTGGGCGAACTGATGAATGCGAGTCATGAGTCGTGTCGGGACTTGTACAAGTGTTCCTGCCCAGAATTGGATCGTTTGGTTGACATTTGCAGGTAATTTGACAGTTCTTGACAGTTTCATAGTGCATTCTTGAGCCATGAGGTGCAAGGGTCTGCTGCGTCACAGAATGCTGTTCTGTTACTGCATAAAAATATGTTTTTCGTGGGATCAGAAGGCACGAAAGGCGCCTCCATTGCGTCCACACACTCTGGCATCATCATTACATCTTTCAACTTTCATTCGATTTACTTGTCAAAAAACTTTGATTGTCGTGCCACTAAGCCGCAAACTATTGTTTAATTTAGGCTAAGCAAACAAGAAAGGGGAATTTCTTTTGCTTTAAAACAGTAGCTTTTACTTTTCGATGCACTCAGTAGGTGACAAAGGTGTCTAAATCATTCCCTCGTGAGGAAAGTGGAGGAGATGTTGAAGGACACATTCCAATGCCTATGGATTGGATGTTTTGTAGAGCTCTATGTCTAACTAGGAATTGTTACACGTGTCAATGAAAAGAGTTTTTCGGCATTAAAACAAATTAATCCTCAGATGAGTCTCTTACCAAAAGTAGTGCCCATTTTCGCCCCCCCCCCCTTTAGTTACTTTTCCCCAAATGCTGTCCCTGAGTTTTTGGCATCATGACTGCCTCTTGATCACGAGGTTCTGTGCTACAAGCAGTCTCAGAAGTAGCCAAGAACGCCACATATTGCAAGGGCTTAAAAGGAAGTTAGAAGACTGCTAGCATGTCTTATGGCTATGTAGCTAAGCCCAGTTAGTCAACGTATTTGATCTCTGCAGCAAAACGTAGTTTGTCTGCAATAAAACAGTTTATTGCCAGCTCACGGAGGGATTGTGTAACTCTGAGCACGAATGAGAGAGCTACAACACCAAGGCGGTCACCAAATGAGCAACACTTAAATAGTATTATCTTCCCTTGGTTCCTTAATTTTTAATTAGTAGTATGATCAATTGAGCGTCCATTTATTCTCACAAAGCCCATATGGTGCACATTTAGTCAGTTTTTCAAGAAGTATTACAGAGAATTTTGTTAAAAGTAAAAAATCCCTTTACAATGTGGAATCGTCTAATATTTGGCACAGTTAATTATTCCCATAGCGTCGTTTATTGCGATTGTAATGTCTACGTGCCAATCCAGGCTTCATAAGACGCTTTGAGACAAAATTACCATTCCTTTGGGTTCTCTATTCCAGGAATTTATGCATTTTAGGCGATTTTTAATGTTTAACATCATTGATTTACTGCAATGGAGCATCAGCATGGAAAGAATTTTGTCTTATGATTACTTTTCCTTTCTATGGTTACCAATTTTAATGATTCAAATGTGTACCATGTTCTTGTGTTTGAGTAATCGGATTTTTTACATTATTTCAACGCCTTAGAGTAATTTGACTGCCCTTTTTTGCTTACAAAAAATTGTAATACGCTTTGTGTCGTCGGTAAGTGAAATCTGGTCAAGAGACGGATTTGACAGACACTGAACAAGGCCAGTTGATGGGTGAAGGAGGCTCAGTCCACTTTGGTGTGTTTAGACATATTTACACGATTGCCGCAAAATCGTCACTCTGTGCACAGGGTGAAGGTGAAATTTTGGACATGCGAAAACCGGCCAACACAGAAAAAAAAAACGTGTTTGGGTTCACGCCTTGATGGACAGCCCTTGAAAGGCGTTGCTTTTCCTCTCGACCCCTCGCGTCGGAACAGCTCGAGATATGATGTAAACCAAGTTGTTGAAATCCATCCTCCACCCTAACCAGTGCCTACCTTAAACAACGTAGACGGATGAAACCTCTCTGTAACATGAAATCGCACAGTTTGCCATGCTCTTTGTAATGGTCAATGTTGAAGAGTGGACAACACTAGAAAACGCTGACGAGCTTGCCTTGGCCGATATCAGCGTCTCTATCTCGTCGAATTCTGGAGTCTGAGGCCCCAATGAGTTGTGTCTCAAGGTCAATGATCGCCATAATCTGAACTTTTTCCCGACCTTAGGCAAAACCCCCTCAGCAAAGGTTTCGAGTACTCTGCATGCATCGATGATTTATTTGCTGTTTGAATTCGTTATCAACTTTGTCATCAGCCTTCAGCCCTCCAGTCAAAGTTGAGAAGGGTGGGTAAATTTTCACCAAATTTTCTCTTGTCTTGAGAGTTTACAACAAATCAAGGACCTTCTTTTTGATTGTGCACAATAAAAAAAATCCCATACACAAAATACTTGTGTGAAAATTGTCGATCTGTCCCACCTCTACGCTATCGTGAGGCAGAAGTCAAGCCTCAAATGTAGACAAAACGCATCGCACAGTCCAAACGTCCATCCCACTAACCATACCAGATGAAATGCAAAGTGGGAAAGGGAAATGTCAGACGTCAAGTGGTCGCTTATTTATGCAAGGTTTGACGTTTGTATTAGGCGCATTAACTCCTCCTCCTCCTCCTGAGTTCTCGCTATGAGAAAACTGCACGATTATCGTTGGGTTGGCCACAGGCATGAGAATTGAACATTCCACAGCGTAGATGCACCTTCTGCTTGATACTGTGCTTTTGCGCTCAATAGATGGGCTGGAAGCTATGGAAGTCGATTAACCGGAGCAGGTTGGGGAGGATGTGTCATTTCCCTCGTTCCAGAAAGCCATAGCGAGGAGTTTTTGGCAACAGTTGCAAAGACCTACTACAATGCAACTCCAGAGGCTGTTTCTCAAGAGTTATTCTTAACCCAACCCGGAAGAGCTGCAGGAATCATTGATGTTTCTCCAAAATGAGTACAACGTTTCATTGTTTCCCACTTCCTCTTGTCAGTACAAATGTCCAATGAGAACTCCACGTCTAACATGGTTTCGGCTTTTGTCACCATGTGATAGTGGGTCTGACACACAATTCATTGTCAATCCCAATGCCCCCGTCCACTTATTTTGTATTTTGGAACAGCTTTTAAAGCCTTCGTAAAAGTCTTTTCAAGACAGTGGTTGTGGCTATTGGTTGACGCACTTGGCAGATGGTTCAGAGTGCTAAATTTCGGTGGAATTCTTCTCTGCAAGTTTGCCTACAAAGTGGGACTCAACAAAAAGACAGTTTCAAATTATGTTTGGAAAAGGGAAATGATCTGGGTTCATTAGGAATACCTTTTTTATTAGCTGTCCGAAAAATACGTAGAAATACGTAGTCTTTAAGATACTGGGGTGCATCTCATTAATTATTCTGGACAACAGTAGACCTGCGTATTTCGTCTAACGCCACCAAGTCGACAACCTGAATTTAGACCTCAAACGGTAGTAACCGCCACCCATCACATTGTTTAAACTTAGTCCTACACGCTATGCATCCATTCACCTAACCACCACCACCACCACTACCACCACCTCATCGCGCCTGAAAGTGGTAACAGCAAAATAGTTGGCAGATAATGTCTCATTATGCTCTTGGGGTAAAATATCAAAGAAAGTTGAAATAAGAAATATAGACTGCTCCTTTTCCTCAACTTATTCATCGTAAACCACCACGTCATCTACTCTTGTGATATAAGTAGTATGTAA